GGGGGGGGGGGGGGGGGGCGTCGACACACCGCACGAGGGGGGATGTCACAATCTGGCCAACAAAAGAAACACAAAAACAAGAGTGAATACAAGGAAGAACTGCTCCAGGTGTGTCAGAGATCGCGGGGGGGTCGACACAAAGCGCGCGGGGTAGAGTCACAACTGGGCGAAAAAAAAAAAAAGTAACATCTAATTCAGAACTGCTCCGGAAGTACAGACGGACATATTTCCGGGACCAAGGCGACGAAGCCCTAAGCAGTGCGCATCAGAAAACTCTTGATGCCGCCCGGGGAAAAAGCTTGGTGGGTGGCGAAAAACGGGGCCAATAGCGGTGATCTTGGCAACGGATCGCGAGGATCATGAATGATCTATGATATGGAGAGAGGGGGGTCAAATCCCTATCCCGAACCCCGCACTCCCTACCAAAACCAAGCTTACTACCGTGATAGTCGGAGAGTTCGTACCGGGTGCGATCGTTTTTAAAATGTTTTTTCCTCGGGTTTTTTATCGCGCCCCGGTACCCCCCTCGCCGGTGTTTGCCATCGGGGTTGGGTTTTCGTCGCTTGGCAACGACGTTGTAAAACAAGCCAATTCACTTCGTGAACTCGGCAACCAAGATACCGGTATTTTTTTTTAGCTCCGTTATTTTTTGGCGGTAACCATACTGGTGGTCGAGTAGATCATGTTGTGCGGGGTGGAGAACCCTCACTCCGCGCAAGGGGGATGATCGCACCACGTTGTGTTAAAATGGTCAAGCACCCTCGAGACAGTTACACAGTGCTAAAAACTGTCTCTGGAAGTGAAAGCACCAGAAAATAAATTAATTCATACGCAGCTGTCATCCGTACGCAAGGAAGTAAGCACAAGATGCCGAACACCCTTAGCAGGATGCAGCGCACCCTTCATGCGACTCGCCGAATATCTCACGGCGCTTCGCGCTTGGTGATGTGAGAGCCTGGTCCGGTGAGAACCCGGCGTGCTCCGTCCCGGCTTTGTAGGGATGCGAGGTCAATGGTCTGACGACTACGGCATGCACGACTATGAGTACCCCCCCCCCCCCCCGCCCCCCCCCAGTGCCATGTCTCCGACCGGTGCCATGTCTCCGACCGGTGCCATGTCTCCGACCCCGGTGCGGAAATGCAATTATATCATTTCGTTTAGAAACTTCAAGGCACCCGGTGCGATCTCTCCGACCGGTGCCATTCCAAATAAAATACACAGGTGTTGTATGCACGCACGCCGGTACCATCTCCCCGACCGGTACGATAGTATTGATACCAGTGCAGGAAACCCACACACTCGGTCTTCTTCACACACTATTTGACAATGCTATTGATCGGTATAGAACCAATTTACGTGTAGGTACCGTTGTTGCTGGTTGGAAGCACACCGGTAACGGCAACGTAGGCTGGTACGTACAGCATTCCATGCAGCGAGTGGTCTTGTGTTTGATGCGATTTTGGCTACGGCTTGACATCAAATGTCGTTTCCATCTGAGGTGCTATCAGCACACACAATATCAATTGTAAATTTTCCGCTTTCGTTTCCGTCTTCTACGGATACCAATACGTACGCAGCAGTACAATAGTTTCGGGTTGTGTAGGGTGGGGTAGGGTGCGGCTTGCATGTTGTGTGTTTGGTTGAGTGTAGCATACGGTTGGCAACTTCCATACCAACAAAAAACTAAAACAGCTGTCATCCCGCGTGAACCGCGACCATCCAATCGTACGCAAAGGAGTGGCGCTCCGCTGACACCGTTCCTACGTGTGAAAGGTACGTATATGTACCTCATTCGGGCAGCTGAAAAGGAGCTCAATCAATCTTGGATTTGGGGGTCGTTGAGATGGCACCGGGTGCGATCTCAACGACCCCAGTGCGTACATCGACTTAAATGATTTTTTCTGGTTCTTTTTCTCGCACCCCAGTGCCATCTCTCCGGCCGGTACCAACTCTCCGAGTAACACGGTGATCTCGCGAAGGCTTCTGCTACCGACCGCAACCACTGTTAACCTCACCTGCGGGAGGAGCTGGCTGTCCTTGAATACCGTCACCGAACCGGCAGATATGTCCGGCTCAGCCATCAGCAGTGCTTTCCTCGAATCCCTGCGATGGAAAAAAACCAAATGATTCCAAGCATCAGCATTAGCAGCAAGAGAAGAAAAACACGAAGCCCGTGGGAACAACGAAAAGCAAGCCTTATGGTTGGATCAGGCGCAACAGCGCGGTTGATGCTGATTAAATAAACACATAACGGAGCAACCGCGAACGTGCACACACACACAACCCGGGGGAGAGCTGACGTCTGGAAAACGTGATCGCGTTTCTCATACATGTACCAAGAGAAGACTTTACCGACATCTATTTCTTTGCCAGCCGGGAATAGTAGCGCGGTCAATCCCCCTCCCAAAAAACAAACGCATACATATACACATATACACATGATGGACCAACCACCTGATAGAATGAGTCTTCTCCTGGTACTTCACAAGCATGACACTGCTGTCTTCCAACTCCTGCGCCCCCCTTTGTCGGTGGATTCTGTATCCTTTCACTAGAAATTGTGAGTGCTTTGTTATCCCGCTATCAAGACTGGTGTATTTTTATTGGTCACCCAGTTAGCGCGGTCGATGCTAACCAAAAAAAAAAACACACACGAGGCATTTTGTTCAACTTTCAACCGCACTGGACTGACGTATTTACATTGGTCCGCCGGGTACGTACCAAACCAACAGTCCCCCCCCCCCGCCCGAAAAAAGAAACAAAACAAAAATACATACAAACATACCTGCGCCTGATCCAAGCCTCGTGCCGGTCAAGGACCGACAACCAGCGCCGCTGCGCCGCCGCCTTCTCCCTGGGACCCTTGCCGCCGCCTGCTCCATCGTTCGTCGCGAGCGTGCTCATCAGCAGCTCCGCCCTCCTGGCTGCCTCGAAGATGGCCGCTTCGGCCACCCGGTGGTGGTCCACGAAAGCCGTCGACTCGCCCAGCTCGGAGGGATCCTTGCCGCTCCACGCGAGGGCGACCGCCACCTGGAACGGGGGGTACCATGAAAACGCATGCCGGAGTCGTTAGACCATGACCTTGTGTGCCTTGTATCTTTACAGGTGGATTATGACGGGAAGAGGATCTCCGCACTAAAACAGATCCAAAGGACGGGTTCTTCCGCCCGAACGGAGTAGAGAGAGCCTCCAGAAAGCTCAACGCCGACGCAGGAAGCGCGTGATTGATCGCCCCCACGCCGAATATTTCCTACTACACTGAACGACGCGGTAATAAACGCCGAAATGGCAGCCGCTGCTAGATTGTTACAAGAGACACCCGCCATGGCGGTCTCCCACCTTCGCGAATGTCTACCGAAAGCGCACCCAGCACACAAGAGGGCAGCTGCTGGAGTACAAAATACGAGGCACCCGCCACAGTCTTTCACGTTTTCGCGAAGACACCGCAGATGGCCTACAATGACTCTACACAGAACGACGCACTAAAACACAAGCCGAAAGGGAGCGCTACTGGGTTGTTACACGAGACATCCATCCGCCACAGCAGTCTCTCGACCACTGCGAAGGCCTCCATAAACACACTCAGCATACACAAGAGGGTAGCTGCCAGATTGTTACCCGAGATTCCATCGGCCATAGCAGCCTCTCACCTTCGCGAACTTCTCCACGGCGTCCCCGGCTTCCGCCAGCAACGCTCCAGCCGCTTCCACCTCCTCCTCGTCAACAACTTTGTCGCCTTCCTCCTCCTCCCCCTCCCCCCCGCCCCCATCCGTCAAAACCCCGGACTCCGTGACGACGCTCGAAGCCGCCCCCGCCGCTTCCACGACCTCCCCCGCTCCCCCCAAGCCGCCTACCCGCTCCGGACCCAGCACCTCCAGCGCCGCCGCCAGCCTCGCTATGATGGCAGCCGCCGGCTGACCCTGCCCCCTGGCCGCGGCGGGCTCGAGCCGTTCCGCGGCGGCAAGCACATCGGCCGGCGAAGGGCCGGCGGCAGCGGCGGCGGCGGCCTTCTCCTTTGGAGCGGCGGTGGCCATTGCCGCGCCGGCAGCAGCAGCAGCAGCAGCAGCCGGGGGCGGCGGCGGCGGGGAGGCTCCGCGACTCGCCGGCTTCTCTGAGGTGACCGTCACCACCGTCACCACCGGGTGAGCACCGGCGTTTTCGGTGATGGACGCCGGAAGCACGAGTCCGACTCCCCCGGACGACAACCTACGGCCGCGGCCGCTCTCGCCATCGCCACCGCCGGCGGCGCTGAGGCCACTGAAGCCACTCATAACGCTACCGGAGGGTGAGGGCGGCGCCACCGAGGGGGTGGCAGCGGCGACGACGGCCACGTCGTCTTCGTTGCCACCACCGCTGCCGCCGCTGGTGCCGCTGCCCCGCTTGCGAGCCGCTGAAGTGAACATCAGGCTCCGCGCGGGCTTCTTCCGCCCCGCGGTCCCGTCCAGCGCCGCGGGGGCCGTGAGCGGGGCCGCGAAGCTTTCGTCCAGCGGAGGGGAGGGGGGCCGGCCTTTGTTCTTCTCTCCAGGTACGTCACCGCTGCCTCTGCGGCCACGCGAAGAGCGCGCGGGCGGAGGCCTGCCGTCGGCAGCGGTGCTGCCTCTACGGCGATGGCCGGACGGGGTTGACGCCTTCCTCTGGTGCCTGCTGGGCTTGGGGATGCCTCTCAAGGCTCCGCCACCACTGGCGTCAGCGTATGACGCCGAGCGCCGGATGGGTGGTCGCTACAACGGGGAACGAGGGGGGGGGGGGGGGGGGGGGGGGGG